TAATAAGTAATTACATAGAATATGATGCCTCAAAGGAAGAAGGAAATACGAGACTATAGGTAGACAGGGAAGGCTTCCTAGTAAAGGAGTTTTCAAAATAAAGCTTCAAAAAGAGCATTTATGAAGGGGAAAATGAGAGACTTCCAAACTAAGTAGACACAACACCAAATATGGGATGATGCCTAGTCCCAGGGTATGTGCCTTGTGACACTGAAACAATATTTTGGAGTAGATTTATTCTAATAAAGGTGCACAGAATTAGATGGACCAGGGAAATGTTCCTAACATCCAACCCATTCAACCATATTTGCATTTGGGTTAGGGTTTTTGTGAGAGTTCAAAATAGCAGGCAACCTTAAGTATTAGATTAGAAATGTACCAGCTCTGGTTGAGTAGGCTGAGCAGATCCTGAGGAAAACTAGTTTTGCCTATGACTGTGGTTTAACTGGATAAGAATGCTGGTTAGATTTAATTTTCATAGCCATGATTTTTTCCTCCTTTCCAGATTTCCAAAGTACTAGGGTGTTCCCTTAAACATCAATATGAAAACCACAGGCTCTAGGTTCTCACTGGAAAAGCCATAGTTGTCTTTTCTCCAGCTCCTCTCAGGGTTGTGGAAAGAACCAGACCTTCTAATTTCACAAGAACGTTCATAAATTCTAATGATTTCTAAATGTGAACAATTAATTTTAAAACTTAAAAAGAAGAAGAAGCCTGCCAGATATCAAACAATATCATCTAAACAGAACACACCTCTGGCTACAGGTGGCCAGTTTGCATCCTCTGATCAAAGGGAGAGATCCATTCCATGTATACATCTGTGTCGTGTTTCATCTTTACAGCAAATTGGACAACTAGAAGTCCAAATGCTAAGACTGTGTGAGCTTACCCCTTCCCACAATTCCTTTCACTTTGTACTTTTATGGGCTAACTTAATTTTATTTTATTTTTTTTAATAATAAATTTTATTTTTATATTCCGCATACAATTGCAACCCCCCCATTCTGACCCCAATCCCTCCCCTCCCACCCCCCACCCCCCAAAAAGTGTCTCTGGTTCATAGTTTTTTTGTTGATTTTGATTTTCACTTTCTTACAGTTATTCATTTTCCTGGTCTCTTATTTAAGTTTTCTAGATTCCTGCTATGAGTGAGACCATCCGGTATTTTTCTTTTTCTTTTTGGCTTATTTCACTGAGCATGATCCCTTCCAGCGCCATCCATGTTGCTGCAAATTGCATGTGTTTCTCTTTTTTGAATGCTGAGTAATATTCCATGGTGTATATGTACCACATCTTCTTGATCCAGTCATCTATTTTTGGGCATTTGGGCTGTTTCCAAAGCTTGGCTATTGTAAATAGTGCTGCTATAAACATAGGGATGCAGGTGCTCTTTGGAATTGATGTTTCTGTGTCCTTTGGGTAAATCCCTAGGAGTGGAATTGCTGGATCATATGGAAGCTCTATGTTTAGTAGGTCCAGAAATCTCCACACAGCTCTCCATAGTGGTTGGACCAGTCTGCACTCCCACCAACAGTGCAGAAGAGTTCCTTTTTCTCCACAACCTCGCCAACATTTGTTGTTGCTAGTTTTTTTAATATGTGCCATTCTCACTGGTGTAAGATGATAGCTCATGGTAGTTTTGATTTGCATTTCCCTGATTGCAAGTGATGTTGAACATTTTTTCATATGCCTGTTGGCCATTCGCATTTCCTCTTCAGAGAAGTTTCTTTTTAGCTCTTCTGCCCATTTTTTGACTGGATTCTTTTCTTTGTTGTTGTTAAGTCTCATCAGCTCTTTGCAGATTTTTGTGATCAGTCCTTTATCATTAATGTTGTGTGCAAAAATGTTCTCCCAGTTGGTGGGGTTTCTCTTTGTTTTTGTTATTGTCTCTTTTGCTGTGCAGAAGCTCTTTAATTTGATATAGTCCCAGCTGTTGATCTTTGCCTTCACTATCACTGCTTTGGGTGATGTGTCTGTAAAGATGTCTTTGATGTGCAAATCACGTAGTGTTTCGCCTATATTTCCTTCTATGTATTTTATGGTTTCAGGTCTTATGTCTAGTTCTTTAATCCATTTTGAGTTGATTTTTGTGTATGGTGTGAAGTAGTGGTCAAGCTTCATTCTTTTGCATGGAGCGACCCAGTTTTCCCAGCACCATTTATTGAACAAAATTTCTTTTCTCTAATGCATAGTCTTTGCTCCTTTGTCAAAGATTAGTTGACCATAAATCTGTGGGTTTATTTCTGGATTTTCTATTTGATTCCATTGGTCTGTGTGTCTGTTCTTGTTCCAATGCCATGCACTTTTGATGATTATGGCTTTGTAGTATAGTTTGAAATCTGGGAGTGTGTTGCCTCCATTCCCTTCTTTTTTTTTTCAGGAGAGCTTTGGCTATTCGGGGTTTTTGGTGATTCCATATGTATTTCATCAATAATTGTTCTATTTCTTTGAAGAATAACATTGAAATTTTTATTGGAATAGCATTGAATCAGTATATTGCTTTTGTTAGGATGGCCATTTTAATAATGTTTATTCTTCCAATCCATGTGTCCTCATTCACAAAGCTCTGTTCACACTTCTGGCCTTCTCCCCATCCCTGGAATGCACCAACTATCTGACTGCCGGTAGTTGGTAGATAGTTGGTGCATTCCAGGGATGGGGAGAAGGCCAGAAGTGTGAACAGAGCTTTGTGAATGAGGAGCAACGTGGACAGCTGAGGCAAGGACCAATTAGATCAGTAATTCTCACCCTGATTACACATGAAAATTGTCTGAGGAACTTAAAAATTTTGAGTGTCCAAGCCCCTCCCCCAGAGACTATAGTTTAATTGGTCTGGGGTGGGGCATGGACTCTGATATTTTATAAATCCCCAGGGAATTCCATGGAGCAGCCTGGGTTGAGAATGTCAGCATTCTTGATCATGCAGAGTCTTACAGGCTCTGGTAAGGAGTTTGGACTTTAATTGAATGACAGTGGGAAGCCATTAGATGGTTTGGACTAAGGGGAGTAACATGGTCTGATTTATGTCCTCATGTCTCTCTCTTGGGCTACAGTGTGGGAAATGGAATGTAAGAGGTTGTTTAGTAGCTTTGTTGAGAAATGAAGATGGTTTGGATTTCAGTGGTGTCAGTGGAGATGGTATGCAGAGGTTACTTTGGGGATAAGTTTTAAAGGTTGTGGTCACAAGACAGACTGGGTTTAGATTGTGAGGCAGAAGGAGATCAAGATTACCTGAGAGTTGGCTGAATCACTGGGTGGATGGTGATACCATTTACAAAGATGGAAGAGAAAATTTGAGAGGAGGAGTGAATATTGTGTGCAGTGGTTGGAGTGAATCTTTAGGCTGTTTTCTTACTGGATTTAGTGACATTCAATATAAACAGCCAAATCAGGTTAACTAAAATATTCTGATAAATCCTGTTGCTGTAGTGCTGAGTGTTCTTGAAGTTCTTCCAAAAGCAATTAACCATTTCAGTGCATGGTAAAAAGAATAGAGGAGCAGTGAAGAAGGGAAACTGCTGAAGATAGGGAACTTCTTTCATGCAGAAATTATGTTGGATGTAGGAGAGATAGCTGTAGTTGACAACTATATTGCTGTAAGAACTGAATGGCATTCTTATACATAAAATCCAAAATAGCTGGCTGAGATATTTGTATTTAACTTTGAGGGGATTTTTCTCCACTAAAATTATCTTCTATGATATGTCTAGCTAGCATTAAGATTATTTTCCTTCCCAGACCAAACCCTTGATGTCCAGCAATTAAAAGTAGCCTATATTTTAAAATAAGAATCAAATTATTTTAATTGCTTATAAGACACTTACATGGAGAACAAAATGGAATTTGTTAGAATAGTTTATTTTTCCCCTGGCTTATATTGAAATGGGTTAAATTGCAGATATTAAGAATATCAGGGGCCTCCCCCGTGGCGCAGCGGTTGAGCGCTGGGTTGCGAAGCTGCCCGCAGCCTCTGCGGCGCCGGTTCGATCCCTGGCTGCTCCCCGGCCACAGGAGGAGGGTCCCACATGGCGCGCAGACCTCTCCTGCCGCCCACTGCTCCCCTCAGCAGTGTACTTCGGTCCTTCTGCCTGCTCTGCTCTCGCCCTCCCGTGCTTCTGACTGTACCCAGTGCATGTATAAACAAACAAACAAAACAAACAAATAAATAAATAAATAAAACATGCCTCTATTAAAAAAAAAAAAAAAAAAAAAAGAATATCAGGGAAAAAGTCCTGATTTTAAATTCATTGAGGGCAAAGGCTGTCTCCAATGTTTCTTTTTAATTCCAAGTTTCTGCTCACTTTGAGGATTTTGTTTTGTTTATATAGTAAAGTGATAAGACCTGTTTAACTCTAACTTTCTGGAGTCAGTGTTTGCGTGAGCCTTTTCTGGGACACTCTTTTGTTTTTCCATAAGAAACTTGAGGAATGGGGGTCTCCCTGGTGGCGCAAGGGGTTAGGCACTGCACTGTGAAGCTATCCGCAGCCTCTGCAGCACGAGTTCAATTCCCAGCTGGCCAGGGAGGAACCCACATGGCACAGCAGACCTCTCCTGTCTCACCGCTGCTCCCCTCAGCAGTGTGTTTCAGTACATCTCCCTGTTCTGTTCCCCACTCTGTCTCTGGTGAATCCTCTCAGCCCCTGCATCTCTGACCTGTACCCCAGCTCTTGTATGCATAAATAAATAAATCTTTTAAAAAAGTGTTAAAAAAAAAAACTTGAGGCATGACTGCCTTCTAGTGAAAAAGGAGAAAGCAAGAATTCCAAGAGGCATGGCTTCAGCTAGAAAATAACTAGTGTGAAACTCATTAATAAAGACTTGACATTGGGTCTAAGCCTCAGAGACAGTATGGGCAGCCTGTGAGATTAGAGTACAAGGTGTTACAGTTGGGCTGTCAGCCTTCATTAGCATTTCATTGACCCATAGGTGTTCATGCTGGTAAGAAAAATGGAGAACATCCCTTGCCTGCTTAACTCAGTTTTGTCCACATTCACTTCCAGATAACTGCAGTGACCTGAACTCAGAACTGCAGAGGGTGCTGACAGGGCTGGAGAATGTCGTCTGCTGCAGGAAGAAGAGCAGCTGCAGCCTCTCGGTGGCCGAGGTGGACAGACACATTGAGCAGCTCACCACCGCTAGTGAACACTGTGACTTGGCTATTAAGGTAGAGCCTCCTGTCCTCCATGCTCTGGCTCTTTGAGATCATAAAAAGGAAATAATCAGAGCCCTCTCTCTTTATCAAACATCTGCTAGGGATAAGTGTTCTAAGAGTTGGCCCACTAGGTAGAAGCAGGAGTCTTGTAAATTTTTTTGGCCTGAATTACATTAGAAAAAAATCATTATAGGGCCTCCCCAGTGGCACAGCAGTTGAACGCTGGGCTGCGAAGCTGCCTGCAGCCTCTGCAGCACCAGTTCGATCCATGCCCGTAGGCGACGGTCCCACATGGCACGCAGACCTCTCCTGCCACCTGCTGCTCCCCTCAGCAGTGTGTTTCATCAGTCTGCCTATTCTGTTCCCTGCTCTGGCTCTGGTGAATTCTCTCACCCTCCCGTGTTTCTGACTGTACGCAGTGCTTATATAAATAAATAAATAGATAGATAAATAAATAAATAAATAAATAAATCTTTTTAAAAAATCATATCAGTCAAAATCACTGACTTTGCAGCAAAACTGACAATTTACTTGGAAACTATTAGACTACTAATACTGATTCTCATGATTTTGGTGTGGCTCATCATATTGCACTCTTAGGTTGTAAGATTAACTTGGGGGGGTTATGAAATCTTTAAGACCTCTAGAGTATTATTTCAGGAGTTACCAATTCATGGTGCCAACAAGGGGGAAGTTCATGTCTGAATGAGTTATCCATCTGGAGCACAAGGGAGCTTCACAACTTTCATGTGCATTCATTTTACTGCAGGAGGAGGCCCAAATCAGAGCATTTGCTGCATCTGCACAAACTGGGGAACAATGGGAAAGTCAAGACCTGTTGATCCTGGGCCTCTAGAATTACTTGATTCACTACAGTTTAGTGACCTAGGTGTAGTGATCCAAACTGAAAAGTCTGGAAATAACCATTGCCAGGGAAAAAATGTGAGGTGTTATTTGAAAAATGTCTTAGCACTTTAGGCTCATTTCCATAAACCAGAATCCTAGATTCCACAAAAGAATGGTGATATTGCAAGGTAAAACATGATTCATGTTTATGACACAGCTGGGTTTCCATCTTCATTCATCTCAATTACAAATAAGAGGAGGTTTGGGGAAGCAAGTCCTGGTGTTTGCTTCTCTAGTGTCCCAAACACTATATTGGATTCGAATGTCAACTTGGCGAGGAGGCCCGGCCTCAGCATTAAGAGGAAAGGAGGGGGCTAAGCTCTTTTGCTAGCCAGTAAGGCACAGAACGGGCCCTCAAGGAAGGCCAATCTGATTTGAGAGGAAAGACAAAGCAGCAAGTGTGGAAAGTGACAGCAAGATTTGATTAACAGTCTTTATCAGAAAACCAGCTTGAGAGTCCTAGAGTGACGTGCCTCACATATCCCATTTTGGTATCTGTTTCTCATCACATCACTTCACTGCCTCCTACTACTTTATAGTAACTCTGCTTCCTCCTTCAGTATCAGTTGAATTATGCTTCCTTTTCTGAAGAACAATAACTGTGAATGAATAGTTTCTGAAAGCAAGCAGAAAAAGTTCTTCTTTTCTAACATTATGCATGTTCCTTCTCCATTGAGACTGTTTTAAGGAAATTCTCAAGAATTCTCCAAGTACTGTTAAAATTATGTTTATTTCATTTCATAGCTTTCTTATTAATTAATTAAATCCCTGTAGCTTTACAAACCTCCACAATGAGCTTCCTCATTACTGTGTAGAGGTTTATTTTTGTCTCTCACACTGAGGGATTGAACTTCACTCACACCCTCTGGATTGTGATATGAAACTAAAAGCTGGAAAAGGTGATGCAATCTGCTGTATCGCTGAGTTGTAACACAGGAGGCCTATAATTTGGGAAACTTCAAGTTCAATTTTGTATGCAGTTTGCATTATCAGGATCACTAGCTGGTGTGCAGCCTGGTAATGTGTTCACCAACTTGGAACGTGGACAGAGCAGATAAACATTTGTATGGACACGGCAGTTAGTGTCACAGACAAACTTACACATGAGGAAGACACTTTATCTTGCTTACTCTGGGGACCAGTGGGAAGCCCAGGCAGTTCGCAGAACCTCATCTGAAAATGGGTAAAGGATGATTTTGGATATCACTCGTCGTGAGCACTGTTTGTAATGAGGTGGTGTGGAGCCCATTCTTCTATGAACTCTCACTCCTGGCCTCGTTTCTTTCCCTCCTCTTTCTCCAAAATGACTCTACTTGTCTTTGTGGCTGTCTCGCAGACTGTCGAGGAGATTGAGGGGGTCCTTGGTCGGGACCTTTATCCCAACCTGGCTGAAGAGCGCTCTCATTGGGAGAAGGAGCTGGCAGGGCTGAGGGAAGAGAATGAGAGCCTGACAGCGATGCTGTGCAACAAAGAGGAGGAACTGAACAGGACCAAGGCCACCATGAACGCCATCCGGGAAGAGCGGGACCGACTCCGAAGGAGGGTGAGTGCGGAGTGCACTGGGCTGAGAAGGACAGGCGGCAGAGCCAAAAGCGACCCGGGGAGGTATGGTATTTGTGGCTTGGGACTCACCATTCCTATCTGCAATGAAGTCATTCTTGTAAGGAAACTAATTTGAAAGTGCTGAGAAGTGGAGGTAAGATTCAAAAATCACTGGCCCCTGGAATCTCAAGTCTAAGTAGATGATAAAATTCTATCCAGGCAACAATTCTCAAACCTTTCTTCAGGGTGCGCACATTTTCCCCAAGCTCGATTAAAATTTCTTCTTTTAAGATAGACTAAAGGGCCTCCCCTGGTGGAACAGGCAGTTGAGCGCAGCACTGTGAAGCTGTCCACAGCCTCTGCAGCGTGGGTTCCATCCTGGCCGGCCAGCGAGAATCTCACATGGCACGGCAGACCTCTCCTGTCTTGCCTGCTGCTCCCTCAGCAGTGTATTTCAGTCAGTCTGCCTGTTCTGTTCACCACTCTGTCTCTGGTGAATCCTCTCACCCTCCCGCACATCTGGCCTGTACCATGGTTCTTGTACACATGAATAAATAAATCTAAAAAAAAAAAAAAGATAGACTAAAAATAGTTTATAATTTGCAAAAGAATCTTTAAGTATATACTTGCTCTCTCTTAGCTATAGTGACTAGTGTGAAATGTCATCTATTCAAAGCAGACTTACTAAAATGAAAATAATCACATGTATGTATATGTGTATGCCTGTATATTATATCTGTGTTCTCTGTGCTGTGTGTGCATTTTTGTGTGTGTGTAATTCCTGGCATTTAACCTAGTATGCCAATGACTGTATAGCCTGAACCAGTTGGGAACCACTTTGTTCAGGAAATAAATACAATTTAAAGAATTGATGTTTGAAGATAGAAATGTTTGGCAGAATGGTTCAAGCACTCAGTTTTCCAAAGATGAAGTTTCCTCAAGGGAACCAACAGTGATTCTTTGTTTGGCTATGAATTTGATCTGTGTTGGACTGGGTGTGAATCAATGAATTATTCAATCAGAAAATATTCTCTCTGAACTTCACTTTGAATTAGGAGATCTACTTTATTCCCTTTCTCAATCTCAACAATATTAGAAGCTTGCCTTCTAGTTGTGCTTTGACTGGTGGTTTTGCACACAGATAAAGAAAAAATATACATTAGAACTCATCATCCTTCATCATTTTTCTTTCTTCTTCTAAATGAACACCTTGAGGGGCTTCCCTGGTGGTGCAGCAGGTTGAACACTGTGCTGTGAAGCTGTCCGCAGCCTCTGCAGCACAGGTTCAATTCCCAGCCAGCCAGGGAGATACCCACATGGCATGGCAGACCTCTCCTGCCTCATCCACTGCTCCCCTCAGCAATGTCTTTGGTCCATTTGCCTGTTCTGCTCCCTGCTCTGTCTCTGGTGAATTCTCTCACCCTCCTGCGCTTCTGATCTGTACCCCAGTTCTTGTATAAATAAATAAATAAAATCTAAAAAGAAAAAATTTTTAAAAAAGGAACACCTTGAAAATAACTTTTTTCCAATAAGGTCAGAACATGTACTTCCTTCTGTTCCTTTTTTTTTTTTTTTTTTTTTTAAAGATTTATTTATTTATTTATTTATTTATTTATTTATTTATTTATTTATTTATTTATACAAGCACTGGGTACAGTCAGAAGCATGGGAAGGTGAGAGAATTCACCAGAGCCAGAGTGGGGAGCAGAACAGGCAGAAAGACCAAGGTACACTGCTTAGGGGAGCAGAGGGCCCAGCAGGAGAGGTCTGCGCTCCATGTGGGACCCTCGCCCAGTGGCCGGGGACCGAACTGGCACTGCAGAGGCTGCGGGTAGCTTCGCAGGCCAGCGCTCAACCGCTGTGCCACCGGGGAGGCCCACTTCCTTCTGTTCTTAACTTATGTGCAAGTTTTCATGATTGCCATTGTATATAATTATGGAAGAAATGACTATTTTTGAATGTTATCAACTCTTTTTGACTATATCAACTCCCTGGCTAAATGTCATAATTAAAAGACCAATAGTCCTACCTCTCATATCGGAACATCGTTTTATCTGAATTCACAAGTATAGGCTTATTTTCAGTATCCAACTTTATCAGATGCCATTTTCCATACTTGCATAAGCAAGTGTAAATCAGTCAGCAAAAATTTTATCTGAGCAAGTTGATGAAATTTCCTTGCAGCTGAGGCACACACCACCTGTAATTTCCTGGGTCACACTCCCTCATCATTATGGCTAATGCCCTAATTCGGTGTGCTTGCTTTTAGCATGTGCTTTCTCATGGTATGTGTTTTGTAAAGGAAATGTGTCTTTAGGTATAATTACATATTGTGGTTTAGAAAAAATTTCTGCCTTCAGCTTGAGTTACTGAAGCAAAAGAGAGCCCTTGTTTGTGAGTAGCAAAAGATAAGATACCACCCTCCTTCTTCAGTTGTTTTCTCCAACTCTAAAAGTCGATATAGAGAATGGCAGAGGTGGTGGTTCTACCTGCCCTACCTGTAGTGCTCCAAGGGCCCTAGAGGCGCACTCCCTGGGCTCGTGGACCTACCCAGTCCCCTCACCTCTCTGTGCATCACTTTCCTCTGCCGTGAAGTGGGGTAATATTCATAACCAGTGCATGAAAATTAATGATACTGATAAAGCACTGAAACAACACATGGCACATAGTAAATCCTCAAAAAATATTAGTAGTTGTTGGGGTGAAAACCAGAGTTACCTATAGAGTGGTCTGATGAGTTCACCACCCTATTGTCTTTTTCCTAGTAAAAGTCATTAGATATTGGGAGAAGTCTAATATGAACTTCTGATCACATTTATTACTTTTTAAGTTTTGTAGTCAGTGTGGTTTTATTTGTTTTTTCAGTTTTGCTTATTTATTTATTTATTTATTTGTTTTATTTTTATATTCCCCATACAATTGCAACCCCCTGATTTTGACCCCGATCTCTCCTTTCCCTGCCCCCCACCAAAGTGTGTCTCTGGTTCATAGTTGTTTGTTGATTTTGATTTTTTTCTTTCTTATAGTTATTCTTTTTCCTGATCCCTTATTTAGGTTTTCTAGATTCCTGTTATGAGTGAGACCATCCGGTATTTTTCTTTTTCTTTCTGGCTTATTTCGCTGAGCATGAGTCAGTATGGTTTTATATAAAAGTATACAATTTACTTTCAATGACCTTCAAATCAAAATATGTTGAGGAACTTGAATCTCTTCATCAAATGGAAATGTCCTTCAGAATTTGTATACATACCATGAATTGGATTTATTTATCTTTATTTGAAGACAGTTGTAGGTCTCATAGAATTTGCCTAGATATCTTTGAATACCAATTTACCAGATGTTAAATGTTGCATTTTGTGTGGTGGGTTGTCTTCTGTTCTCTATGATGTGCAGCACTGCAGCAACTGAGTCATGGTATCAATTCCCATGCCTGCGACAGCCCCTGATACCTGACTCCTTGGCCTGTGCTGTCTTTCCAGCAGATATGAATCCATAGCTCATCGACACTGAAAAATAGTTGGGCACACATTATTTTCATGCCCGTGTTCACTGTGCAGAATTCTAAATGACCAACAGTGTCAATGGTGCCTGTAATTAAACAAAGTGCTCTCAGTAGGTTTTCTGAGCCTTGTTCAAGATTTAATTAATTTAGATCTAAACTCCCAGTTTTTAATATCAGTTAACAAATTGGGCTACTGTACAGAGCAGTAAGGAGGGAATGAGAGGTAGACAATTTTTGTTATTGGTCCCATCTCATTATTAAATGAGATAATCATTTGTTTCTACATGCTCTGATATATAACCACACATCTCCTCCCACTTAAAGAAGTGGGCTTAATTTAGGCAAGGTAGAAGTAATTGACTTGAAAGGAAGCACTTTACACTTATTTATTTTTTATATCATAAATATGATTGGTCATCTCCTCTGTGCCAGGCAGAGGGACTGCAGTGATGAGCAGAACACTGCCCCCAGCTTGAAATGGCTTGGGGAGACAGGAAAGTAAACAGGTGTTTAAAATGCTGTGTGTCAAGTGTGTCAAGTATATGTGTCAAGCATGGAGGGGAAAACACATGGGGAACACTGGGAACTCATAGGAGGGACATGTGATGGTAGGCCTAGCTTTTCCACACTATTTATTGTTTTTACCTAATTTTTTAGGACAAGTGTCTATAGCAAAAAAATAAGTGATTTCCCCAGATATTTTGGTGAAGCAAACTGAGTACACTTGACTCTTGAACAACGTGGGTCCTTAGGTCCACTTCTATTTGATTTTCTTGTTTCTATGAAGAAGTCATACTTTCTCAAGGCAAACTCTTGGCTATAACAAAAGTAGCTGACTCCATTAGTTGGAAAGTTGGTAAGAAATTAGGAAGACAGCCAAAATGCTAACCTTTTCTCTGATGCAGGTTTTTTGATAATCTGGTCCTGGTTCTTTAGTGGGCTATACTACAAAAGAGAAAATAATATGCCTATACTATTATCTTCAGACAATGAAAATGCTGTCAGGTTTGTATTCCTTTTCTATTTTGTGGTTTCTTTTTCTTCTGACTCAGCCTATAAAAAATTGCCATAAGTAATTTAAAAAAACTTCTTTTCTGAAACACTATGAAAGTGAAATATACAGGAATAAATATGTTATTTCTATAAAGAAACTCTGATGAGGGCTCCAACAGAAGTCTGCAGAAATGTCTCATAAGAAAGTGACTCTCCACAAAGTATCCACCAAACCTGGACATGGAGGAGGCAGCTTTCAAAGAACTACACAGAGACTAAGTGGTCAGCCTCATTAAGGAGAGCTTTTTCCAGCCCAATGATTCTAACCTTTCTTCAGGGTAAAAATCATCTCACCTCAGCCAGCTCCACTACACATTGAGATTATGAATTCACAACTTAATTAACTGAAATTATATCTGCCTAATTCACAATGCTGCCTGTCATAAACAGAACAAATTCATTTTTCATGGTTAATAGTGTTTCTAATCCCACCTAGGTATCTAACACCACCTTTCTTGTCACTAGTCTGTGAACTACATTCAGATGGCATCCTCGCTGACTCAGTCATGCTGTCTGTGTTCCTACGTTTGTACTGGGACACCACATTATCCTTGCCCTAGCCTCACTTTTTCAGTAAATTTCCCTCATTTCAGAACCCCACCTCTGTGCCCACTCCACTGGATGTTCATCTTTGACAGCTTTAGTACCAAATTCTTAACCACTTGCATCTTTCTCTCTGCTTTTGCATAATCTCTCCTGCACCTGGGCTCTCACCTTTGCATTTACTTTGTTTCTTTTAATTTGGTTTGTAGGAGCAAAGAGATAAATTACATTTCTCTGTTAAAGGCATATTCATTGATCTGTGAAAGGTCCCTCTTTCAATTTCTTTCTTTTATAACCTATTCCCTCTCCCCATTTCCCCACTTTATGTATAACCTTATATATTTTTGCATTATTTTTAATTTATGTAAATGCTGCTGTACTCTCTTTTTTTTAAAGAATGATTCCTTTATTGTAAAATGTGTATTTTATTTATTTTTGTATAGAAGAACTAGGGTGTAGGCCAGAGGTGCCAGGGGTGAGAGGATTCACCAGAGACAGAGTAGGGAGCATACGAGGCAGATACTGAAATACACTGCTGAGGGGAGCAGCAGACAAGATGGGAGAGGTCTGATGTGCCATGTGGGTTAGCTCCCTGGCTGGGGATTTGCCACAGGAGGGCCATCTCAGTGCACTGAGACTTAACCCCTAGGCCACCAGGGAGGCCAATGCTGCTGTACTTTAGACCTCTCTTACTTACCTCAGTACACTCAGTCAGTTAAGGGCTGTCCACACTGCTGTGTGTACCTCTGGCTGATGTATTTCAGGCTTCCTTGTATTCTATAGTGTCATTCACCACATCACAGTGCTCAACACTAGGCTTCCCACTACTGCAAAGAGCACTCTGGTGCTTATACTCTTGCAGATTTCTTCTGTCCTGGGTGGGACTTTCCAGGTACACATGTCCCAGGTGAGACTACAGTCTTGGATGAGCACATTCTCACCTTGAGCAAGTCTTGATTTCCGAAAGGTCTGTCCGGCCATCCCATCTCCGACAGCAGAGCAGACCTGCTCCTGTCCCTGCAGCCCTGCTTGTGCTTGCTGTGGTCACTTTCATCCCATTCTTTTTCTGGGTTTAATTTTCTTGTTTGTATCCTTAGGAAGTTCTTTCAGCAAAGGTCTATGGGTGATAAATTAGTAATCTTGTTTGAGAATGTCTTTATTTTACCTATACTTTAGGTGATAACTATGTAGCTTCCTGTTGCTGCTATAAAAAGAAAAAAAAAAAAACCATGGCTTCAAAGAGAACAGGCTTACTATATTTCAGTTCTATAGTTCAGAAGTCTGAGATGCATCTCTCACTAAAATCAAAATGTCATCAGGGAGTCTTCCTTCTGGGACTCTGTCTTTTTCAGCTCCTAGAGGTTCTGGCATTTTGTGACTCATGCCTCTTTCTCTGTCTTCAAAGCCAGCAGCATAGTGTCTTCAAACCTCTAACGGACACTTCCCTCTTACATGGACCTTCATGACTACTGGGTCTATGTGATAATCCAGGATAATTTTCCTATCTCAAGATTTTTTTTTAATTTTTTTTAAGATTTATTTATTTATTTATACAAGCACTGGGTACAGTCAGAAGTGCAGAAGGGTGCGAGAATTCACCAGAGCCAGAGCGGGGAGCAGAACAGGCAGACTGATGAAATACACTGCTGAGGGGAGCAGCGGGCGTGCGCGGCAGGAGAGGTCTGCGTGCCATGTGGGACCCTCACTGGCCGCCAGGGATCAAACCAGCACTGCAGAGGCTGCAGGCAGCTTAGCAGCCCAGCACTCAACTGCTGTGCCATCAGGGAGGCCCTCCAATCTCAAGATTTTTTTTTTTAAGATTTTATTTTAAATTCATTTATACAAAAGCACTGGATACAGTCAAAAGCGTGGGAGGGTGAGAGAATTCACCAGAGCCAGAGCAGGGAGCAGAACAGGCAGAGTGACAAAGTACACTGCTGAGGGGAGCAGCGGGCAGCAGGAGAGGTCTGCCACCATGTGGGACCCTCGCCGGTGGCCAGGGATGGAACCGGCACTGCAGAGGCTGCAGGCAGCTTCGCAGCCCAGCACTCAACCGCTGCGCCACCGAAGGAGGCCCGTTATCTCAAGATTTTTAATCTTTCTTGAAAATAAGGCAACATAGTCACAGGGTTTGAGGATTAGAATGTAGACATCTTTGGGAGCCACTATTGAACCTATATAGGTTGAGACTGACACTTTGTCAGGTACCCTTCAAAAGTTGACTATAGAGTGGTCAGTGAAACAGGCCAACATCCCTCCGTCAGAGCTTGAAGCATCTTATCTATTTCTCCCACTAGATGGTTTTTAGGATTATCTCTTTATCCTTTTTCCCCCTACATTTGTACTATATAGTGTTTCTAGACACATAGTTATATTTTCCTTCCTCCTGTTCCAGTTAGCTTTAGCTGAATCACAAAACATCACAACTTAGAGAGCTACAGGCATTTATCCCACCTGGTTCTAGGGATAACTAGACTCTGCTGGGTAGTTCTCACTTGGACTCATCTGTGATTGGTTAGTCATCAAGAAGGTTTCTTTAGTCCTATGTCAGAACTCCTATGAGCATTTGCCCTTGGTGGGCAGCCTCCAGCACGGAGGCTGACTTCTATGGATCAGCATCCTGAAAGAGTGTCAGCAAAACTAATACATTTTCTGAAATAGCCTTAGAAGTCAATTTGTATGACTTCCCTTGCATTCTGCCCATTGGATTCTGCCGCGGACCAGCACAGCAGTAGACGATGAGGCCACCTCAGGGTTGAGAGAAGCGTGCAGGGTGGTCAGGGCGTCGGTGAAAGAAATGACAAACAGACACACTTCAAGAGTGAAAATCTGAGTGTAATTTTCTTTGAGTTTGTGACCAGTATATATATGTTTTCCAAAAGCACAGGAATGAATATCAAAGAAATTAGCTTGCTCATGGGCTCAGTCTATCACCATCAGGGAGGTGATCTGCATAACAAACAATGACCATTATAGAAGAAAGGAAGAAGTTTAGAAAGACAGATAAGGGATTAAAGTTTGTAGTTCTAGAAAGACTGGATAAGATTTTTAGCATTCTTGTAGTGGTTCTTGGAACAAAGGGGGACCTGCTGCACCTCCCCCTGCAGTGACCTTTAGGGCTAACCGGCCCTAGGTCCGGCTGGGCAACCAGCGTGCAGGGGAAGAACAGCAAAACCCTACCTTTGCACCTCCCCCCGCAGTGATCTTTAGGAATGGCTTTAGCCACGGTCCCTAGATCCTGCTGGGCAACCAGCACGGGGGGGGGGGGGGGGGGGGGGGGGGGGGGGGGGGAGAACAGCCTGAAGCAGAGGAAGTGCAGCGGAAGTTCCCTGAAAAGGCAGAAGCTTATCAAAAGATAACAACCACCAAGAACCACTACAAGAATGCTAAAAATCTTATCCAGTCTTTCTAGAACTACAAACTTTAATCCCTTATCTGTCTTTCTAAACTTCCTCCTTTCTTCTATAATGGTCATTGTTTGTTATGCAGATCACCTCCCTGATGGTGATAGACTGAGCCCATGAGCAAGCTAATTTCTTTGATATTCATTCCTGTGCTTTTGGAAAACATATATATACTGGTCACAAACTCAAAGAAAATTACACTCAGATTTTCACTCTTGAAGTGTGTCTGTTTGTCATTTCTTACACCGACGCCCTGACCACCCTGCACTGCACGCTTCTCTCAACCCTGAGGTGGCCTCATCGTCTACTGCTGTGCTGGTCCGCGGCAGGATTCAATCTCAGTCCATGCATGTACAGAATGAGAACTGGACTCCACCTCTTCGTGGACTTCACCGCTTGAGGCAAGGAATGTCGAAGAATCTGCAGACATATCTAAAAACTGCCACATCTACTTAGCACCTGATATGTAATAATGCAGTCTGATTTATGTCTGTATTCACATCTGGAAAACAAATCTGTTTTCTTTTCAGATGTTTATCAGACATTTCCTGTGTTCTCTTCCTTTTGAACTCCTTTAACAATGTGTTAGAGCTTCAGTCAATCATTTATGTCTCTTAATGATGCCTGCATATTTTATATCTCTTTAGCACCCAGACTGCATTGCTAACCCCAGACTGCCACTTTCTCCATGCTGTGTTCCAATTTTTTAATTCTCTTTTCAATTTTATCCAGTAAAGGCTTTAACCTATACATGCATTCTATTTCATAGACTATATCTTTCTTTCATTGCCCATTTTTCTCATCCTCCTAATCTTATTTGATATCTGCTAGTTTTTTACTTTTTTAAAAAAAGATTTATTTATTTATGCATACAAGAACTGGTGTAGGCCAGAGATGTAGGGGGCGGGTGGGCGAGAGGATTCACCAGAGGCAGAGTGGGGAACAGAACAGGCGGATCTACTGAAATACACTGCTGGGGGGAACAGCGGGGAGACAAGAGACAAATTCTATAAAATTCACAAGGAGAGGTGGCCTATGTACCCAAAAAACAGTTGGCAGGGTTTAGACTCAGCTTTGACAGGTGCTATATGACCGGTGCTGTGCCATGTGAGTTAGCTCCCTGGCCGGGAATCGAACTCATGCAGCAGTGGCTGTCATAGAGCTGCATCTTAACCCCTTTTGACATCAGCGAGGCCCCTAGTTTTTCTTTCATAATTTATTTTTTATGGAAATGCTTTTTCCATAAAATATATAAATTATTACTTTCTTTAAGGGCCCAAATATTTGCTGTGACTTAACTGAGTTTGCTTTATTTTCATTTATCTGGTGAATCCATTTCCCAATTTAGACTGCTAGCTCTCTTGGTACATCCACCTTTCTGTGTAGTTGCCCTTCCATGTCTACAGCTTCATGGAGGGCCTAAGTCTCCTGTTCCATATGGATATTGTGGTTTGCAAATTAGTGTCTAAGGGAGTGAGTGGCAAAATGCAGACCAGTTTTCACTGTTAACATATAAGCCTGGGGCCCCACAATATGAAGATAATAACTTGGGAACCCATATACAAATGTGTCACAGGTCTGGAATTTGATTTCTTATGGCTGACCACTGCACAGCTCTAAGGTTTCTTTCCAGCCTCCGGGGTAGCACTTTCAGTCCACCTTTCACACATAGGTGGGGCAGGAAGGCTCCAGGCTTTATTCCAATTATCAGCCAGATCCCCAGCCGACCTGGAGTGAACCCTCCATGGCAGCTCAACCCCCACAGCACCCTACAGTATTGCTTTCTTCCTTGCCTCTCTAGCTCTAGTTCTCACTTCACTTCTGCAACATGGAGATTTTACTGTCTTTTTTTTTTTTAAAATTTGGCAGTGAATTTCTTTCTCATTGTTCCTTTTTATGTAGCACTTCTATGCATTTTTAATAGGAGGAGCACCTGTTTACTTTAGCTGGCATGTGCTGCAAAATTTGAATTGTTCTGCATACAGACAGCTACTCTTCCCATTTGCAGTCCTTCTCATTCTCATCCTTTGTAGCACCTGTCAAAGCTGAGTCTAAACCCTGCCAACTGTCTTTTGGGTATATAGGCCACCTCTCCTTGTGACTTTTATAGAATTTGGCTTTTTCCATTAATTTTTTTTCATCAGTACTCTTCCTTCCTCTTTGCTGTTAAGAATGTGTCCAAATCTTCCTGCCAGTGCCCCAGCACATCCTTCTTATTGCCGTAATTTTTATCCTCTTTTATTCTTGCTATTATTATCATGAAATCTCCAGCATCTGAAGATACGCAATTGCACAATCTACTCTGTTGAACAAAAGAACTCAACTGAGTCTTCAGTGCTGCTACGCAAGCTTTTTTCTTCCATTTTTGCTCTGAGGTTAGCTTCCTTCCTCATTTCCAATGTCTGGTATTTCCGCCTTCCTTCCTCCCAGGGGACCTCAACTCTTTTCTCTTAGAGAAAGAGAAACCCTCTCCGCCCATCCCACAGCCAGGCCTCGGCTGGCAGCCTTGCCCATGCACAACATTCCCACACTGTGCTTCCAGTTCTATTCTTCTTCCTCGGATTCCATTCTAAATGTTTCCTGAATATCCTTCCTCACATACCGGACAGTTTCCTCAAATCCAGTACACCCATAGTTACTTGCCATCTTTATTTCTCTCTGAAAAAAATCAGTCTGTGTTAGGTTGCCCTTATTTTGTTGAGCAATACTATGAGTTGCTGAGTTATCCCAGCCACAAGTTTGGATGAATTTTAATTTCCCTTAATAGTTCTAGAACTGCAATGACCAATTAATAGCAGCTAGTCACAAACAGATATTTAAATGTGAATTTACATTTATTAAAAGAAACCACCATTCAATGGCTACCTTGGGCACCTAGCCAGTGCTCAGTACCATTTTGTGGCTGGGGGCTCCCTCAGGGCCTGCGGCAGCTGCGCAACAGACCCATGCTTACAGAAGTTCTCCTGGACAGAGCTGGCATGGGTGTGTTTCACCACCGGTGCCCAATTCACTGATTGTGTTTGACACTCCTCATTTCTCATCAGCACTGTAGTGCAGCTCTTGACTCACCGTCTTTGTCCTCCTCCATCCCATCCATCTTCTTCTCTAATCAGGTAATTTTTGTAAAACCCCTTCTCCCTTTGGGAGTCATTATCATTTAACTGAGAAAAGCCTGCATTCTGGCATTTTATTATCATTTCTTTACTTGAACCTTTCAGGACTTCCTGAAAGTTTCACCTTTTTGCTGATTTTACCTTTTTTGTTTGCTGATCACCATTCAGCCTTCAAGACTGAATCTCAGTGTTTCTGAAAGGGAGAGGAAATGTTTCTTCTTTCATACTTTGACACTCTGGTAGAACTGGTCTCCAATAATATCTTTTCATTATAATGTTACCTAGGGAAAAAAAATCACAGACCACATTTGAATCAAATGATGTTACAGAGGTCCTGATTTTGTTATACATTGTTTCAGTAAAAGTCAGCCATTTCAAGGAACCTATGAACAAATAAGCAAGGACTTATTACACCCTTTTTGGGAACACATTTGTAATATTTAACTGAGGCCCTAAAAGATAAGAATCTTCCCTTGATACTCTACCAGGTTTCCATTATATGTAACAAAGTTATTTCTCTTCTGGGAATCTAGATGGGTATGAACTATTTAGGAAAAAACAACAAAGTGACCATTTGGTTACTTTGTGTGTTGTTGTTAAAGAACTCAGACTGAGAAAGGATATAACCGGGAAAATGACCTTCCCATAGCATCAATTCCTAGGTTAGGACAGCTGTGATTCCTGGTTAACCTCTGACTCCAAGCCACATGTTTTGAAGAGAGAAATGTATTTTCTTTAATAAATTATCTTCAGCAAAAGATGGTATATTAATTACCTCAAACTTGGCAGCTTGAAACAACAGAAATGTATTCTCTCACAGTCCTAGAATCTACAAAATCAAAGCATTTCCTTCAGAGGCTCAGAGGAGAATCCATTTTTGCCTCTTCAGCTCCTGTTAGATCCTGGAGTCCACTGATACGTGGCCAGGCTTTGTCTCAACCCTCACATGGCCTCCTCTTTGTCTGAAATCTCCCTCTCCTTTCTCCATTCCACTAGTCATTAGATTTAGGACCTGCTCTAAGTCCCAGATGATCTAATCTGGGATTCTTAAATTATAGCTACAAAAACTACATTTCAAAATAAAGTCATTTTCATAAATAACGGGGGTGAGGAATTTGGACATGTCTTATTTAGGGGGGTAGGGGAAGGAGGTCACAATTTAACCTACTGCAAAAGGACACAATTTTACCTACTGTAAGGACTCTAATAAAAGCTGTCTCCCCTCTCCCAAGCCTTACATAAGCTGAATCAGCAAATTGTTTGTAGCCTTCATCTTTGTGCATATATTCATTTAAATTAAATTGAGACTCTTCCCCCACTTTCCCTCTCCCCCACATACATAATACATACAAATCAAGGCAGGAGAGAAGGCTATGTAGCTCCATCAAGGGCCGGCCTCTCCATGACAGTTTCACACCATACCTTTCATTGATTTTTTTTCCACTGCCTAATAATTGTCTTTAAATAATAAACCATAAACCAAAATAAGAATGTTTATCAGCCTTTCGTTTTCAAAGCCATTCTATGGGTCCAAGACTTTAAAAATGGAAATGGATGTTTACATTTAAAAGTTATTTTAAGTGGACATACCTGTGCTTACTCACACTGTGGAAAATGACTACAAGTAATTGTCTCTGCCTGGTTAAAAGAGAGAGAGAGAGAGAGAAAGAGAGAGAGAGAGAGAGAGACTAGGTACTTCCTTTTTATTTTTCTCAGTGTCATCTAAACTTTCCACAATAAACATTTTTTAGGTGAAGAAACTTTTTTTTAAAGATTTATTTATTTTTATACAAGAGCTGGGGTACAGGCCAGAGACGTGGGAGGGTGAGAGGATTCACCAGAGACAGAGTAGGGAACAGAACAGGCAGACTGACGAAATACACTGCTGAAGGGAGCAGCGGGTGAGACAGGAGAGGTCTGCCGTGCCATGTGGGACCCACGCCAGCCGGCCGGGAATGGAACCCACACTGCAGAGGCTGCAGATAGCTTCACAGCACTGTGCTCAACCTGCTGCACCACCGGGGAGGCCCTGAAGAAACATTTTTAAAACATGGACAGTTTTAATGACATTTTTATACATTGCACTGGTCCATTTGTATTTTTTTGAAAGGGGATAGAGTGGGCCAATTGGGCTATAAGAAAACATTACTGATTATTTTGTGACTGATTCAGGCATTCATTAGATTTTGCAGTGGTGCTAACATTATTAATTATTCAGGACCTCATCATACTTGCACAGCAGTAGAAATGGAAATATATGGGCTCCCCCAGGAGGTCTCCCAAGTGCCAGGAATTTGACATGGTGGGAAAATGGACCCTTGCCCTGTGTCATGTGGCTAGAGGAGACAGTCACCCTCAGCCATTCTCAGTCTGTTAGGGACCATTCCAGAATTACCGCTGTAATCTTTCACCAATATCATTTGACTTCAACAGGCATGTGTTTCATCTTTAAAACATTTCAAGATCAATCTTGTGTCTGGTATATTGTGTGGTGTGGCACATATTCCCATCACCCACAGTTACTGGAAGTTACTGTGCCACATTCCGCACTTTATAGCTGTTTGACTAGTGAATGTAATTGGCTCCAAGGGAATTTTCCTAATTGGGCTTCTAATATTTTGATGAATTATTGAAACTTCAATTACTTTTGGTTCCCAATTTAGCAGGAGGAAAACATCCAAGATGTTTAATATGAAAACCTCCCATTTTATAAAAGGGTTTGGCATCAACTGGACTGCTCTGTGCCTCTTGTCTCAGGAACAAAAATGCTGCATAACTTTGGGATTCCCTTAGGTCAGTGCTGCTCTGAGTGTGGTCCTCTGACCCACAGCACCAGCATATCCTGGGAGCTTGTTAGATATGAAGATTCCTGGGCTTCATCTAGAACCAGTAAATCAGAAGCCATTGAGGTGGGGCCTCAGGATCTGTTTTTTTGTTTGTTTGTTTTGTTTTTTATTTTATATATATTTGAAATCATTCTTCATTTCTGCATAATGTATGCTTTTTCCTCTCAGGTGTGGTCCCTGTAAAATTCCCACCACCAATTCTCCTCTGTACCGTCACCAGTCTCTTGTGCTTTTCCCTCCCCTGTTTTGATCCATCTTCTCCTCCTCCCCTGCAGAATGTCTCTGATTTATAGTTCCCTGTTGATTTTGTTTTTTTCTAATTTTGTTTTTAGTTTATATAATTATTTTTTGCATTCTGTTTTAACAAGCTCTCAGTTATTTGACATTCTGATGGACCAAGTTTGGAAAACTCAGCCTTAGTTCTTCCTGTGCTTATTCTTTCCAGTGAGGCCCTAATGTGTTGTAGACAGCTTTCCCTTAAGGTGCACATTGTACTCAATGATAAAATGGTGATTAAGGTCATCAGGAAAAAAATAACAATTCCTAATAATCATGTTCATTTACTTGGAATGCTTCTCTCTTTGGAAGCCACTGATCAGTAACCATTGAGAAGTAGGATTTGGACATTTAAATTCTGTGCAAGTAAATATGTGTTTAAATGTAATTCAAGAGGGTCTCCCCGGTGGCGCAGCGGTTGAGCGCTGGGTTGCGAAGCTGCCCGCAGCCTCTGCAGCACCAGTTCCATCCCCAGCTGCTCCCTGGCCACCGGAGGAGGGTCCCACATGGTGCGCAGACCTCTCCTGCCGCCCACTGCTCCCACTGCAGTGTACTTCGGTGCTTCTGTCTGCTCTGCTCCCTGCTCTGGCTCTGGTGAATTCTCTCACCCCCCCACCCCCCGCGCTTCTGACTGTACCCAGTGCATGTATAAATAAATAAATAAACAAAAAAACAAGAGTTCTCCTTTTAAAAAAATGCAATTCAAGGACCTGTGTTTCCTTTTTATACAGAAAGACTGTTTAGATATGCCTTTCCAACATTCCAGGAATAATTACATCTTCAAGTCTTGGGGCAAGACTGTTTTCATCCCAGCCTCAATTTCTTCCAAATGCAGAGACCTCTCTGCACTACACATATTCAATAATTTGAAGTTCTTCAAATGCAGCATATCATCTTGTGTGATCTGTTCTTACCCTGACTTACTCAGAACACCCTCAAAGCCAACCCTTTACCCATCTGTGTAACTCTCTTCACTTGTAAGACTGCTCAAGTTCCCCTCTCTCTCTTTTCCCTTCTTTAACAAATGGCTTCAGGTGGTCACATTCTTCCCTGGTCTTCTCCTTACAGCACCTCCATAGCTATTTAGCACTTGTCTGCACTTGTATTGACATTACCTACCTACATCTTCCTCTGATCCCCAAGTTCCATGAGAGTGGAGATTTCATTCTGGGTTCTCTGTCTGCAGACAGCAACAGTCACATGAGGCTGAATAAATAAACATTCCTTAGAGATAGTCATTTCAACAGTGCTAGAAGCTTCTAGTGCCTTAGATAACATGTTCACCTTATATTTGTGGAGATTAGATGATGGCCAGTAGCAAGTCTAATTGAGGCTAGTGACTTGTGTAGACTCAATCAACTCAGTTTCTGAATGAAACTGATCCCTTCCTATAAATGAAAATTGGTCATCTACCCATCTGGCTAATTTGCTCTTTGGCCAGGAAAGTGACCAACTGTGACTAAAGGGATTATTCTTTCAGGTTCGAGAGCTTCAAACCCGACTACAGAGCATGCAGGCCACAGGACCCTCCAGCCCTGGACGCCTCACTTCTACCAACCGCCCTGTCAACCCTAGCACAGGAGAGCTGAGCACGAGCAGCAGCAGCAATGATATTCCCATTGCCAAGGTAAATTCCTGGGGATAGTGCTGGGGATCCCTCCTATTATCTGGGGGCACCAGCCTCCATGGAGCTTAACCTACTGTACAGACATGTGATTTGCTCAGCTGGCCACCAGGGGCTTTTTCAGTACTCTCTCAGAGAGGGATGCCTGACCAAGAGCATCTCTCGCTTGCAGTCTGGATGCCAGCTCTCATTCATTAGCCAGCTGGAACATGTCACAGCTGACAAGTCACTATGGAGTGAGCTGGTTTGTCAGATTCCATAATACTTCAGGTGGATGGAGTTTCTCTTCAGGCCTAAGGTTCATTCCAGGTGGGTTCTGAGTAATGAACCAATGATCTTCCCACTGAAGGACCCATAACCCCACCAGCAAAAAAATCAACTGTGATGGGCAGCCTGTGGGCTTGTAATAGGTATCCCCACTGGATCATATGTTGAGTCAACCTGAGAAACACTGTTTAAGTGATCCTCTTGCCTGGTCTCCACAAGAAGGTTCGTTCTCAACCATCAAGAAAGTTAGGTCAAGCCAATGTTTCTTTACCCAATTGCATGGGATATGGCAATGCCTCTAGCCATTTTTGGTGGTCACAACTGGAGAGCTACTGACAGCTTATGGCTAAAAGCAGGGAGGCAGGGGTAACTATCCTATAACATACAGAACAAGCCCTTTTTCTCACTCCCAATGTATAATAAACCAGTCCAAAATGATAATAGCACTGTGATTGAAAACCCTTGGATTAAGCCAATGGTAGAAAAATTAGGTAAGTGAATTGTTTTTTAAAAACTAATTAACTGATGTAGTTGTCATGGTGAAACAGTAACCCTATATAAACACAGTCCCAACAGTTTGTCTGGAAATTGCTATGACATTTTTAGATTTTGTTTCATCTTTTGCAGGTTGCTGAGAGGGTGAAACTATCAAAAACCAGGTCTGAATCCTCATCATCTGATCGACCAGTCCTGGGCTCAGAAATCAGCAGCATAGGAGTGAGTGTTCCTAAGAAGCGTGACCAGAAAACTCCCCATAGAACCATACAGATACCCATTTATAGATGATAGAAGAATGTCCTTGGTTCACCTCCAGTAAACCTGTTAATTATAATAATAAATCAGACCCTATTTCCTTTAGAAGATCAGATTGAAATGTATAGTGGTTTCCATGTGGTGAATTACTTCTTCAGCCATAAGGGAGATGTTTTTTCTCTACTTAAAACCATTCAAAAAGAAATGTTACTGATGATGTTACTGGTGATTTAGATGAAAGACTTGAAATATCTGCTTCATGTCACCTACTGCCTCACAAACATGTTTGAGTCATGAATGACTAAAAACACTTTACCTTTACACATTCCTCTTGAAAGGAAACATGCTCTCCAGTGAGGGTGAATGCTGCCTTTGAAGTTAGCCTGATGCTCTGAAACACTGGAACCTTCAAATATTCATTTGTAGCACCTGTGAACCCACTGAGACTGCAGACGTTAATGGGTGGTGAAAAGGGAGCTGTTTCAGTTCCTAGGTGGATATCTTTCATGATTGGGGATGAGACTAGGAGACCTAGCTCTTTGATCCTTGTGGGTAGGGAGAGCCTGAATAGCACTTTCAAGGCTTAATTTAGAACTTCGCACTAAGGAAAAAATGCATGTGTTCAGATTCCACACCAAAGCTGTTGTAAAAATACAAAGGTTGGTTGATCTCCTTTGTTGCAACAGAGACGAGAGCCTGGAGTGGCAGGGATTCAGGGAGGCAGAAGGGGAGTCCAGACTCTGTTCAATATCCAAAGTTTTAGGCACACACAGAGACATGATCAGCTGCACCTGCTGCCCAGCATCACGTGCATGAAGGAGGCAACTCTATTTGATCCTCTTTATGTGCTGCTTCTAGAGTAGTTAGCTTTTAACACTGTGTAACCTATACAGGTTACACAGACTGAGGAAGACCCAGGTAAACCACCTCCTGGTGCCTGATTCTTAAGAATATTAGCTTTAAATTATTCTACATGCAAAGCATTTGTGGGGACTGGTATCCCTAAAGTGACACTGGCCATAGGGGAATCATTGCTCACTTGTACAGGTATCCAGCAGCGTGGCAGAACATCTGGCCCATTCTCTTCAGGACTGCTCCAACATCCAAGAGATCTTTCAGACACTCTACTCACATGGATCGGCTATCTCGGAAAGCAAAATTAGAGAATTTGAGGTGGAAACAGAACGGTTGAATAGGTAAGGAGAAATACTATGTGTTTGAGTGTTGGTGGAGGAACTGCCCCTTCCTTCCCTTCCAAAGACTGATTCAGATTGATTTGTATAAAGTCATGTGTCACTTAACAATAGGGAAATATTCTGAAAGATGCATCCTTAATGATTTTGTCATTGTGTGTCTGTCATCAAGTGTAACTGCCCAAACTTAGATGGCATAGCCTGTTGCACACCCAGTACCATGTGCTGTAGCCTGCCGGGACCACCATAATCTGGGGTGGTCCATTATTGACTGAAATGTCCATAAGTGACACAGAACTGTATTGTGACATAGAACTGTATTGTGACATAGCAAAGCCCTCAGGCAGGTGAGTAGGAGTCTCCACCACCTTGCTTGTCAAAAGAGTGGCCAAGCTGTCAGAACTGGCTTCACAGCTGTTTTGTGGTTGACATATGCGTATGAATAATGTTTAGACAGACCTCATGCTTGTTTTGCTGCTCTGCTTTACCATATTAAACTCTTAATAATTTATGAACAAGGGTTCCTACTTCTTTATTTTTCCCTGGCCCTTGCAAATTATGCCTCAAGTCTGGGGAGCAGTCCACATAGGATGGCAAGTAGATCAAAAATGCCAGATAGTTACAGACTGTGCAGAACCACAGGATGTTCTGGAATGTTGAATCTGTATCCCAGTGGTGCCTGGAGCTACCTGGAACCAGCAAAAGCATCCTAGGAATGAGTGGGCATTCTGGTCCAATCCTCCCTGTCCTCACTGAGGGATGCTTGGTTTTATCTATGCTCTATGCAAATGGCAAATGTGCACAACCCTCAATCCCTACATCCTGTTCTCCTTCGCCCTACTTAGAATGATTTTCCAAGGAGGTCTACTTAGAACTATTTTACCATAAATTACAGGTTTTAAAGTGTTCCTTCCAAATGTCATGATAGAGGTAGTTTAAGTTCACACTCCTTCCTCTTGGCATAGATGCTTATGAGGGAGTTACTGAAAAATCAATGAAGCACCAAGGCTAAGCTATATTCACCACTCTGAATCATAATTGGTCCCCCAGTGGCAGATGGACTGTTGAATCACATCAGTTGTGTGTGGCTGCCTTCACCTATCCACCTTCAGAAAAAAGCACAGTAAGAATTTGAAAGGCTTATGAGCTAACCTGGAGGAAATGTGGGTACCATTTCTCATCCACCATTGCTCAGTGCCATTCCCCTTGTGTCTGGCAAACCTGAATAAATTGAATTATTATGTTAGTCCTCCTTGATTTGAAGCTGTTTAATATAGCACTTGAGAACTATGAAACTATGGGGATCTAGGTCATTTTAAGTTTTCAAATTAAATAATTTCTTCATTAGACCCAAAATATTTCAGAGTGATAATCATATGATTACCTTATAGCAAGAAAGAAGTAGCACTCTCAGTATCACAGGTTAGGAGTTCTTAACAAACTTAAATCAGATCTGCCCCTTGCAACTTAATGAAGTTAGATGCCTTCAAGGACCGTCTGTTTAGGGAGGACCTCTTCTCCACAGATTCTGGAATTTAACAAGCCTGTTTTGTGGCTGAACTCAGAAGAGTTTCCTTTCTTTTCAATTACACAGGAAAAGCCAAAGAAGGGGGAAATAGTTGATGTTTGTAGCTCATATCTTTATGGTGTTGCAAAGAGTTCTCACAGACAACTACTCAGCCCTCAACTTGTTTGGGCAGAATAGTTCCATTTTTCAACTGGAAAAACAAAAGACTTCATTAAGTTGCAAGGCTTTGATGCTGAATTACTTGCCTTAAGTCCATAGCTACGAAACAGCTGAACTGCCTAGCCAGAATAGAATTCCAACCCCTGCCCTTTGACTTCACCTCCCAGGTCCTCTATAGAATCATAGTCCTGCTAAAATAAGTGAATTCTTAGAAATAGTAATGCCAGTATGTTCACCTATCTCAAGTTGAAGGCCTATTATGCTCCCCGAAATGGCAGATAGCTTTGTGACTGTGTTTGGGGGTGAGTGGGGGCAGGGTGTGGGGGCTGGTGAAGAGTGGTCATACCTATTCAAAAGTGTGTCTCCTCATTTGTCAAATCTGTATAAAGCTCCTACAATGTGCTGGGCTATTTGGCATGCAAAGGAACATGAAACAGACAAGGTCCCTGCTCTCTTGGAACTTATATTCTATTATGGGAGCATGGCAAAAAACAAGCAAATAAGCAAGGTTTAAGAAAGCCCCAAGTAAATAGAGAACTGTGATAGAATAATAGGAAGGGTTAATTTTAAATTGGTATCCCTGAAGATGAAACTTTAGGTTGAGATTTTAAGGAATAAAATGACAGTCATTTGACAAACTGAGAAGAGTCTTATCACCATAAAGGCTGAAAAGAGTTTGGCATGAACTCAGAGCTGTACAAAGGCCAATGGAACAGAAATAGAATTAGTGAAAGGAGGCGTGACCTAGATATGGTGGCAGAGTAGGCAGGGTTGCTGGGACACGGATTTTGAGACCATGCACTACATTTACTGTATTCTAGAAGTCACTGGAAGACATGAAAGTGTCTTAACTAGGGAAGAGTAGATCTGATTTTAATTGTGAAAAATCACTCGGATGTGATGAATGGAGAGGTAAGGGGCACAAGTGGAAGCAAGGAGAATATTGCTGTGGAACATTGTGGCCAAAGTGGAGATGATGTGCAAGGGCTGGGCTCAGTGTTTGGTGGCAAAGCCAGTGAAGACTGAAACCAGGTAAGACCTGGCTATAAAAGAAAGGGATGGTCTCAAAGAAAATTCTTAGAGCTCCACCTATATCATAGGCAGATAGTTGTGGCATTTACTGAAACAGGACAGGACAAGGCTTGGGTAGAATTCAGAGTTCCATTTGGGAATGCTAGATTTGATGTGTCAATATGACATGCAAATTGAATTATCAGGAAGCAGTGGCTATGTGAAGCTGGCACTCAGACGAGAGGTCTGGGCTGTGATATTCAGGAGCTCTGGGAAAGTAATGCCTATTAAAGTCAGGGACCGGGTAGAATCACCACTATGAGAGAGTGTTCATAGAGGAAGGGAGACTGGGAATGAGCCAGTGGAGCATAACTGTCACAGACTTTATAGAAAATAAGGAACCTGCAAAGGAAACAGAGGAAATACCCTTTTATGGCAGGAGAAAAACCAGTAAAGACCTGTCATGACCTAAGTGAGGAAGGACAAGTTAAAGAGAGTAAGTAGGGCCTCCCTGGTGGCTCAAGGGGTTGGGACACAACCTATGGAGCAGTCCGCAGCCTCTGCAGCAACCTCTGCAGCACAATTTCAATCCCCAGCCTGCCAGGGAGCAACCCACAAGGTGCAGCAGACCTTTCCTGTCTCGCCCGCTGCTCCCCTCAGCTGTATATTTCGTCAGTCTGCCTGTTCTGTTCCCCACTCTGTCTCTGGTGAATCCTCTCACCCTCCCGCACATCAGGCCTGTACTCCAGTTCTTGTATGCATAAATAAATAAATCTTTAAAAAAATAAAGAGTAAGTTGCCTCAAAACTACGATGGGATCGGACACATGAAAGTCTATGAGCTGGGTAAATATTTCCTCTAATTAATAAGGACTGAAAGCATAATGGAGCAAGTTGCAAAGTAATGAGAAACTAGGCAGTGTTTCAAGAAGTCTTAGAGTGAACAAGGACAGAAGAGTATGTTCTTATAACACCTAACATGAAATGGAACTGGGCACTGCAAAAGCCTCACCACAGTGCTAGCTCTACACGGATGTTCGTGTGGGTGAGCCTCTCCATGCTCCACCCTGAGATGGTGCTGCCTGGGCTCACCCTCTAGGCAATGACTGGTGAGTCCCTAACACTCTGGAGTAACTTGTATCGTGTGTGTGTGTGTGTGTGAGAGAGAGAGAAAGCCTATATATTTTTTGAGACTTCATGCCCTGTGGAAAACAAATCACCACATCTAGGGTATCAGTTCCGTGGACAGAAGACTGAGAAGCTGAAAGTTTATTGTGTTTTCCAACTTTGCCATAAACTCTCTGAATTTACAGTTCTGGTTCCTATAAAACTAAACTTCTCACCTGTTGTTTACAGTTGCAGGGCATACTGCCTGAAAGGACCTTTGCATACAACCTGTAGACTTCATTCACTTCCCATTCAGAGACCCCCAAGGGCTGTTTCTCATTTCTTAACTGATTCATCTTTTGATTCTGCTCTGTAGAGAGTAGTTAAGAGTATATGTTCTGGGCTCGAATCTCAGGGCAAGGTTCTTAATTTTTCCATGCCACATTTCTTCATCTGGGATAAATGAAAAATGGTAATAATATAATACTTATTTCAAAGGGCTGTTGGGAAAGTTATTAAGCAGGACACAGTGAAAGGTAGCTATTACTGTTCCGCTGCTTCTCACTTGTCCCTGTAGAGGGTGATTTATTGAAGTGTTTGCTCTCGTGATGGCACATGGCTTCTCCCTGTGTATCCCCAAAATCCACACAGTACCTGGCACATGGTATGTAGATGGCAAGATGGAAAATAACCATGGGGGCTTATTTTTTATTTCTAATTCTCACAGTAATCAGTGATTCTTTAACTTAGACTGTTTTCTTATTATTTTGCTAAAACATCTGAAAAATATCCTGACATGCTTTTCTAGCCTGATCAAGATTAGATTATTCAAATACTGCAAAGTCATTATAATCCTGGTTGAAATTGTACAAGTGGTATTTCTTATTTTGTAGCCGTATTGAACATCTCAAATCCCAAAATGACCTCCTGACCATCACCCTGGAAGAATGCAAAAGTAACGCTGAGAGGATGAGCATGTTGGTGGGAAAATACGAATCCAATGCCACCGCGTTGAGGCTGGCCCTCCAGTACAGGTAGAGAGGTGGGAGGAAGGGATGTGGAAGCCACGTTAGCTGACAGATGCATCGAGAGTAATCCTCTGCATAAAAGTAGAAAACATGTTTGTAGAAGACATAATTGGGAAAACAAATCAACAAATACCAGTATGATACTTAGAAAATCAATTAGTGTACCATAGCAATTAAGAAAATGAGGATAATGAGTATGGTTTTAGTATACAGGTATATTTCTGCTAACATAGTCATCTTAAATATTGTTCAAGTAATATCACTGAAAATGTCAACTTTTTTATTGCTCCTTGGCCTTTTGGCTAAGATCAAGTGTAAAATACCAACTTTTTGTGTTACATATTCATTTAATTTTGTTCTTTCCATATATTCTATTTATTCACATATATTTTCCATTGTTATAAATCTAGCAATTTCTATTTCTTCAGTTTATTATAGGTTTATATTGTTTAACAGTTTCCCCTTATTTTGAACGACTGTCCCTGTGCATTATTTATATATTGTTAGTTAATTGTTTCTCTAAAAGACATTTACATTTTTGCAGACTTTTGATATTGAAAATAATTTTATGGTGAGTGATTTATCCAGATAATACCTTCATTCCTTTGAATATTTACCTTGGGATAAAATCCCTGAAGCTAGAATTATAGGTCATAGGATATGAATATTTCCATGACTTGTCAGGCATGTTGCCAATCTCTCCCCATGAAACAAGTGGTCTAAATGAATGTGACTCATTCAGCGATGAGAAAATAGTATATGAATGTACCACTGTTTTTCAACTTCATCAGCTTTTGGCTTTTATTTTTAATTATTGCTTGTTCGCTGCTACAAAACCAGAAAGCTCTATTGTGTTCATGGGCCTACTTGATTAGTGTCACCAATTAGGCATATTTGCTAAGGTCCCAGAGTAGTGACTCTATGTTACTCTTAGCATCCTCTGAAAAGTTCAATATTATTTTTAAAAAACCCTGTCTCTTCAGCAAACAAAATCAAACCAAAATATACAAGACCAAAGCAAGAGAGTAATCATACTAATTTACAGATGCACATGAACAGAGAGATAATCCATCTATGATAATGTTCTGTGCCCACAGTCTCCCTTTCATCCTTAGAGATGAAGCAATTCCCTGGCATCTATACCCTGAAAGATGGGCTGCTCTGTGCAGGGAGAGCTGCCAGCACCCAGAGCTTGTGATTGCACCCCCTCCTTATCTCTTTGTAAAGAAAGATGAGAATAAGAACAATCAAAATCCAGCAAGTGGCTACTGTATTGAATGATAGGTCAAAATAGTCTCCTTTCTGGGATGTTATACTAGTCACCTGTTATTGTATGACTATACTTATTGTGCTATAGTTTCAAGTGTCAGGAACCAGGATGATTTAGTGAGGTAGTGCCATTTAGTTTCTGGTCAAGATGGCATCCAGGGCTGTGATATCTGAAACCTTACCTGGGGTTGGTGGGTCTACTTGGAAGAAGGCTCATGAGCCCATTATCAGATGGAGTCCAAAGTCCTTTGCTGGCTGTTGGTTGGAAGCCTTACTTCCTCATCATGTGGGCCTTCCCTAGGGCTGCTTAAAACCCTTTGAGCTATGACAGATGGACTTTTCTGGAAAGGACAATCCAGTAGAAAGTGGAGAGACCAAGAAGGAAGTCACAGTGATTTTACTGATAATAACCTAACCTGGAAGTGGCATCCCCTTACTTCTGCCATAGTCTCTTAGACACACAGACTAGCCCTGGAGCATATGAAAGGAGATGAAATGGAGTGTAGATACCATCTGTGAGGGGTGGGGGCAGTCTTAGAGGCTGGCCACCATGGGTGTGTGACCTTCCTTTTAGCTGATCATCAAAGGACAATAAATCTGCCTCTCTGCCATGCTGCCTTTCCTATATTTTTCTAGATCCCAGTTTAAATTTTCCTACAAATGGCAGGTGGCAAGATAGCCAAGCAAGTTCCTGAATTTGTCTATGAGTATTCATAGGTAGCTCCACGCTTATGGGGACAGGTCAGAGGTACCTCCCACCCCAGGAGTGCGTGGCATGAAGATACTCACACCATGCACCCCCCATCTCCATGGCCACCCCTTTTGCTTGTGTTTCAGTGAGCAGTGCATAGAAGCCTATGAGCTCCTCCTGGCACTGGCTGACAGTGAGCAGAGCCTCATCCTCGGGCAGTTCCGGGCAGCTGGTGTGGGCTCCTCATCGGGTGAGTGTGACCTGGCCCTGGCCTCTTCCTCTGTGCCCCACCCCTCTTACTTTCCTGCTCTTACTTTCATAGCTGCTGGCACTGTATACGTCCTGATATGAAATTCACTTGTCAAGTGTGTTTTGTGTTTTTTCCTCATGACTGAGTAAAGTTATGTTGGATGCAGAAAGAAGTGGAGTGGAAACAAAATTACAGACAAGTTAAAACAAACAAGGCCTCTCAGGAAACATGTCCTCCCTAGTGACAGTATGACAGATGGAGCCAGAGGCCCACATTCCTGATGAAAGGGACCAGCCTGTCTCTGCAATGCTGCTGGTTAAGGGTCCCCTTGCTGTCCACGTGGCCTTTATTTGTCTTGCTATTTTTATTGGCTATGCTTTTTCTCCAGGTTTGTTCCTTTAGTTTGATTTGAAGTATGGGTTTCCCTCTACCTCATCTCCAGGTATCTTAGCAATACAGAGGACATGGTTTCACACCTTGCCTGTTTCTCATAATGCTAACCCCCGAGCCAGGCCATGCAGTCTGCTGCTTCTCCTCAACTCCCCTTCACATCTTACCCCATCTTCTAACAGGAGATCATGTGTCCTCGTGGCCTGATTTGTACCCCTAGATCAGCACTGGCCCCCACTGCTGTCTCTCAATTTTGAGTAACTGGAAAGGATATTTGAGAAAAACAGAAGTATATCATCGTAGTTGGCAATGTTTCCGAAACTTCTCCCTGTGATCAGATTGTGGTTCTTGCAATAACATGAGAAGGAATGTAGTAGAAATGACGCCTGAGAGAAGAGGAGACCAAGGGAAAAGGTTTTCATTTCTCTGGGTGAGGCCTGGACACTACCTTACCCATTACTTTCAAATTGCAGGACCTTTGGAGAAGCAATGGGTAGTAAGCAAACTGTAACCAGGTCAGTTCAGAGCCAAAGATGGGTGGTATGGGCATGCCAGGAGCCCCCAGCCTTGTGACAAGGCATCTGTCATCAGGGGTGGACCTTCCAGGATACACCTTGCAAAGAAGGCTGCCATCAAGGCACCTCCCCTTAAGCCCTCCAGCCAACGCAGCTCTCTATCCACCCCATGCCTATTATTGTTGCCAACTCCTGCCTTGCCTGAAGTCTTCTTTGGCACTGAATACTAACACATTTTTATTCCTTTAGTTTTGATATGTGCAGAACTCTGAAGCAAGTCTGAAGGAAAGGCAGTATCCTACTTGTTAATTTCCCACTTCAAATCCAAGTTACCCAAAAAGACAAAAAGTCTCCATTTGTAGAGTGACTGCCTTCCACTCCTCTCTCATGTGTTTTTTAATAGTATCACATCCCGGCCCAGAAGTAGAAACACTGCCAACATTTCCATTAGAAACCTCATTTTTCAGGGTCTTTTAACTGAACCATAAAATTTTATTCTTCATGAGAAATAGATCCTAAAATGATCTTGGCCTGCTGTCAATTTTTTTTAATATATGTATAAAGGAAAATGATCAATTAAAGGGAAAAATCAATCATTTTATTTTTGACTTGTATCAAAGGCATGTCTTAAATCATCCCATTCAAAAGCTAGGCTTTTCATAAGGTTTTATGAGGCTTCTATCTATTCAGCACAGTTGCTTTGTAGGTGCTTTTAGTTCTCAAACAAATCTGCTTTTAAAGTACTTAAAATCAATAATGAAATGCTTTGTATTAACCTAGTCCTGGGTAACATGGATATATTTATAAAATGAAATGGTCAGTAATATCATGCCTTCTTTAGAACAGAATACAAAGAGCAGTCAGTTGGTGAGCTCTCTGTAAAATTTCTTATTTGTGGAAGGAAGACAGGCAGGAAAGTTGTCAAAGAAATGCTAAAGGCGGTCCAGGGATCCTCAATCTGCAGGACACAGGCACCCAGGATTCTTCCCGTTCTCCCTGCTCTGCTGACAACCGTGGCTGAACTGTCACTCTCAGCCTTCACTAGTTGTGCAGCAAAGCAAATGCTAGTTTGTAACATTTATATTTACATTATCATTGGTGGTTTTTTTCTTTGTTTCTTCTTTACTTCACAGACTTTCCTTATGTTCATTCTAGAAAATCTAGCCACTGGTTTTCAGACTGTGCCCTGGAAAATGAGGAGTTTCTTGGACCCTAGGAAAAGAATTAGAGGGTGGGAAGACTGAGTGTTTACCCACCACCCCTGAAACTTCATCCACTTCCACATTAACCATTTTATATCTTGCTCTTTGGCATAAGATTTCATTTGAAAATATTTGGAAACAATGGCTCTCTGCTGGAGAGGTAGCAGGCTGGTGACTTATTAGAACAGCATGGTTTTTTGGTTTTTTATTTTTTAATAGAGTGCTTTTTTTAAGATTTATTTTTTATTTATTTATGCATATGAGAACTGGGGTACAGGTCAGAGGTGTGGGGGTGAGAGGATTCACTAGAGACAGAGTGGGAAACAGAACAGGCAGATTGACGAAATATACTGCTGAGGGGAGCAGCGGGCGAGACAGGAGAGATCTCCTGCGCCATATGTGTAGCTCCCTGGCCGGTTATAGAACTCAGGCCAATCAGTCAGGTAGTGCTGGAAACAGATCTCAGATTACATGGACTTGTCTGTCACTTATTGATAAGGAAAACTGAGTCTAGGGCAGAGAAATGTCTTCCCAAGTCCAGCTTCTAAGTTATAGTCAGACCCAGAACCCCATCTCTGTGCCAGCCACACACAGCTTGCTCCTCCTCATCACCCCTCTTCCATCTGGAGTAACTGAAAACCAATTATTCACACTCACTTCCAGATTTGTCTTCCTAGACTGTACTGATTAAACTATTTGCTTCCTTGCCATGTAGGAGATCAGTCAGGGGATGAAAACGTCACTCAGATGCTCAAGCAAGCCCACGACTGCCGGAAGATGGCAGAGAATGCAGCTAAGGCCCTGCTCATGAAGCTGGATGGCAGCTGTGGGGGGGCCTTCACGGTGGCCGGGTGCAGTGTGCAGCCCTGGGAGAGCCTGTCCTCCAACAGTCACACAAGGTAATTCTCAGCCCTCCTATCTTTCTCTTTGGTGCGCCTTCTCCTGTTTGTTTTGTTCTCTATTTCTTCACCATTTGATTTCCAGGAGCTTTTGGGTAGCTAAAGTGCATTTGCTGCAAATGGTCCATAGTATTAAGACCCAGACCACTGAATCTTATTCCCATACTCCCATTTCTCCCTTGGTCTAGTGCCTCTCTTCTTTGTAAGCTTTGTAAGAGAAAAGGTAATCTACCCAGTTCACAGATGAGAAAAACCTGGCTCACATGTGTGTAAGTGACTTACTAAGTCAAGGTCACATGACTGATAGATAAAAGGAGAGTGGAGACTCGAGCCCAGGACACCAAACATATTATACTTTCCACTATACTGTGTTGGACCTCATGACATTAGAAAACAGTGTCTGCTTGCAAATCAAGTGACAAGAACCACCTAATAGTAGGCTGACTCTCAAGAGCCAAAGGATTAATATTGATGTTTTCTTGGTGCCTGAAAGCAATTTAATATTCCCATCTCTCTTCCCCACTGGCAGGACCAGTCATCTGCCTAAGTGCATCCATTTACCTGTCCTGGATCTGCTGCCTTAGGAGAGGGGACTTTCCTAATAACGTACTTGGCCAGGGGCCCACAGGCACAGGGAACTTATTTCCACCAGATTCCAGCAACGATTGTCTTATTCAGGGAAGCAGAGATTATATAATTTATTTTTTTCTTAAAACTACATTCTTCTTTTTAAAGATGAAAGCAGATATTTTAAATGACTTCCAGATGCATATAATCTATAATTTCTGTTGTTCTTTTGAAATAGAAATGTAATGTTCATTTGTCAGCAATATTGTCCTGTTGAATTAGTAAAGATGCTGAATGGCTTGACAGGAAATGTATGCTCTCTCCATAGCTTATAAGGTTTATGCTCCAGATGCTGTGCTAACACTTTATCACCCCCAAAATTACTGTGTTATTTTAATCTAAATCAAGGATAAATTTGGTATTGATCAGGAATGGGAACATTGTTTCACCACCTGTTTATTGGGGGCCTGGTTTTGAATGTTTCTTAGAAATATTTTAACATAGAGATGAGCCTTAATTTGGACAATTTCCTTAGAGAAATTTAATTTCAGGTAACATATTTCTGCAGGTTCAGATAAATTCCGCACATAGTTTCTATTTTCAAGGATGACCTCATTGAAGAATGGTCCTTGAACTAATTTCAGCCTTAAATGGATTTTCCCATCAAAGCACAGATTTCATCCATTTCTTAACAATTCACCTCCATGCTCTGCCCAAATCAGAGCGGCTCCAAGTGGGAATAGAAGCCCCATACATTGAGCATCACCTGGCAACCACGTTCCATAGGTAGGTAGATAGATAGATAGATAGATAGATAGATAGATAGATAGATAGATAGATAGATAGATAGATAGAAAGATAGATAGATAGATAATTATTTATTTATATTTTACATCAGTGTCAGTGTTCATTTTTCTTCAATGTTTGCTTTCTCCTCTGAGGTGTAGTCCCCATAGACTTCTCACCACCAATTCACCCTTGCAGCATCACCACAGTCCCCTGTGCTCTTCCCTCCCCTATTTTGATCCCTCTCCCTCCCCCTCCTCTGAAGAATATCTCTGATTTGTAGTTGCCTGTTAATTTTGTTTCATTTTGTTTTTATTGTTACTATTTCTCCCCTGATCCCTTATTTGGTTCCCCTATATTCCTTCTATAAGTGAAACCATCTGATATTTTTCTTTATCTTTCTGGCTTATTTCACTGAGCATGATCCCTTCTAGCTCCATCCATCTGCTGTGAATAGCATGAGTTTTTCTTTTCTGATTGCTGAATAGTATTCCATTGTGCATATGTACCACATCTTGATCCAGTCATCTATTTTTTGGGCATTTGGGTTGTTTCCATATCTTACCTATTATAAATTAGTGCTGTAATAAACATAGGGATGCAGGTATCCTTTTATTCCTAGGAGTGGAATTGCTGGGTCATATGGAAGCTCCATTTTTAGTAGTTTGAGGAATATCCACACAGCTTTCCATAGTGGTGGAAATCACATTCTTAGGACCTGACACAGCTTACTGCTATTTTGCTAACCTTGGGTTCGGGAAAATATCCCAAACTACGAGACCCTTTCATAATTATAATTCATTTTGCCTGTAAATCTTGCTATTCCAGCTTACACATTTCCCCATGTCATGTTTATGGGAGAAATGGAGCTTTCTGTGATTCCATAAATCCCCTCTTCCTTCCCACTTAACCAACTAATGAGAATTTTAATCAGAATCTTGGTCACTGTTCCTCAAGTTCTCAGGAAAGGAATGCTGAGTGCCCGGCCTCCTCATGCCTTTCTGCAGCACATGGGCAGCTGCTAATGACAGTGGGATTCAAAGTTTTGGAAAGAACAGCAGAGGGTGGTTACCAGCAAAGACTAGAAATGGGAGCCAGCTTGTCAGTCGACTCTGTTGGCAGGAGCCCAGGGACGCTGCTGTTTCATCTTTGAAAAATATAGCCATGACCGCATCAGAAAGTGTAATTGTCTTAATGGACAGAGTAACTAGGTAATGTTGATTGCCTGGATAGCTTTATCAGCATATCACAACAGCAAGGCAAATGGACTGAATTGTTAAAGAGTGGGAATAGCCATTCTTAATCAAGTCCACCCTTTGTGTCAAGCATCACAATTTCAGTTCATTCCATGGAAGCACAATTATCCATCTAAATCTACAAAAAGGCTTGTGGACAAGAACAAACAAGGCATAACATGTTTATTCTCATGAGACCGGAATTTAGTCCCCTTGTCCTGACATCAGGTATGTGTTACAGTGAGTCTCTGGCACCTCCAGATTACCAACCTGGCTGACAAGTCACAGTGGGCATAAGTCCCAAATGGAATGGAAGGCAGTGGAGCTCAAGCCCAGCTCTCACCTTCTAAGCTAGTCTTAATTAAGGGAAAGTTTCTTTGAGGTAGAGAGATTGAGGACAGTGAAACCATGTCCATTAAATGGGTGAATGGGGTTGAATGGTTATCTAATTAGGACCACCACCACCAAAATCCAGGGAATAAGAGTTGGACTAGATCGGCCTGTAATTATCATTATCTTCCCTGGGCAAAAAAGGAGCACTTTCCTCACATATCAGGAGAGTCCATCCAAAGTCTTTTGGATTAACACTTAAAAGTAAATTCTACTCAGTCTATCTCAGATATTTCTCAATATGACTGTGTGGCAGTCAGCCCTCTAACTCCAATGTCCTTTTCACATATCTTTTAGGTTTTGTGAGAACGAGGTAGAGATCTGAAATACCTTTTTTCTGTAAACTTCCTGATTTCAAAAAAATTATATGCTTGTTATAAAATAATCACTAATTTTGAGTATAGTATGCAAAGTAAAATTCTTCCATGCTAGGGACACTGCAGTGCCCACAGATTTAACTGCATTTATATTAGAGGGGAATCCTTATTTGCAAATCATGGACATATTCTCAAATCACTTAAACAAAAAAGGGTCTTCCTGGAAGACTATCAGGTCCTCACTCAGGAACTGTACCTCCAGGCCGATGGCCAGGTCAGAGGCTGCAATAAGGCAGAGATCAGGGGAGCCAGGTACCTGCTCCAGTGACTTTCATCTCTTCGTTGCTGCAGGTGGGCCCCCAGATGACAGGAAGTTAGCCATCTACATTCACATACAAGGGTGACCAGGTCCACTGGTGTCAAGTGAGAAAATCCTGGGAGGAGTCTCCAGCCCAGTTGGGCCCAGGTGCTCACCCCAGTCTTCTCTGACTGTGGCAGTCCCTATAGGAACCACGAGCCTGGAGAAGAGAAGGAGTAGGGCTCAGAGAAGTTGTATGAAGGGCAGAGAGGAAGAGTGAAGGGCAGAGTGCTGATGGCAAAAGAAAGAACATTCCAGTAATATTAGGTGGCTCAAAACAGGGCATCTTTAAAAACATCATGTCTTCAGCAAACCTGTAGTGAAAGGAAATTTTTTCAACCTGAAAAGGTAATCTATGGGAGACACTTAGATACTGAATATGTCCCCACTCCCCTAAATTGCAAGACAATAATGAACTATTAAGTTATACTATTTCTAGTTAACATTACACTAGAAATCCTAGCTAGTGAATTAATATAAGAAAACTAAAAGTAGTAATGATTTTTAAAAAGTGCTATCTCTAAAAGCTTGACAACATCTAATTTTTAACCTAATGAGTATCCAATTATGGGACCCTCCTGAAACTTGTTTTTTATTAGCAAGTTTTTAATTACCTTTCCATATGTGTTGTTTGTGTCAATAGTCACAAACTTTCCACTGGATGGCAATACCATTGTATAGTTAAACAGTTGCTTCTTTGTTGGACATTAATATCCAGCTTTTTACTTATTAGAACATTGCTGGAGCTACCATCCTTGTGCTTAATTCTGTGACTCTTGTGTAATCCATGAGACCAGTTCCGAGGAACAGAATTTTCCAGTTCACAAATGATTGTTTCAAATGTCAAATAGCCCTTCATATACATGACCCAGTCATTCTCCCGCAGCCACAATGGAGGGCCTCTTCCCTACATCACTGCTACAACGGAGTAGTGCAATTTTTTTTAACAGGACCAATCTGTAGGCCAAAACATGACCTTAACATTGTCTGTTGTACCTCTTAATTATTAGTGGCGTTTACAGTTTTCCAACCCAAGAAATCATTAAAAACACTATAACTGTCTGGCTTAGGTGGTGTCTGGCTTGGTGTGTTGAATCAGGAATAGTTCAATACTTGTTTTAGGGATGGCTGGTTTTCAGCACTATCATAATAACACCTTTAGAATGACTGCATAAATACTATCTGTCCCCTAAATATGTCTGCTGCTTCTTTTAAATTCCATTGTTGCTTAAAGTTTAAAGCTTTCCTGCTCGCAGCCTCTGCAGCGCCAGTTCAATCCCCGACCGCTGGCAAGGGTCCCACATGGTGCGCAGGCCTCTCCTGCCGCCCACTGCTCCCCTCAGCAGT